TACGTTTTCAGTTAATATTTCCTCTTGATTAATCAAAAATACCATTTAATCACCACTTAATTATGTGATTCGATCATAGTATTTAAAATATAATGTAGTATAGTTTAAAATATAGAAGCCGCTGGCGAATGTTACTATTTACTGTTTTCGATCGGGTAGAGCCGCGCAGATCTAGAGCCGGTCCTTGGTTATCGAATCAACGTAGACCGATCGGCAACGTCGGGAACGGCGGACGTACGAACGACGTGGTAGGAGCGACGGAAATCGACGTGGGAGCCGAGCGTGTCACCGACATAACCGTATGGGCCGCGGACGAACGCGCATGGTCGGAGCAACCGGTCGCCTTGCTGCGATCCTGGTACCCGATAATCGGTTCCGCGCGCTTATCGAATGCGTTTCAAGGTCACGTGCTAGTCATTCGCCGCGGCGTTTCGTTTACAAACCCAATAGCTATTATGTAATAATAATATTACGTTAATAAGAATAACGATGATATGTAATTTACACACAATCAATATTATTGTTATTATTATTTTTATGATTTTTTATAATTTAATCATTTACCGGCTTCTAAGCAACCAGTGCCGTCCTAACAACCGATAACGTTCTAGGGCCTAGGGCAACAACATTTGACAGACCTTCCTCTCCCACCACAATATATTTGTAAAATGTAGTTCACTTTTTTTGGCGAAATTTATTCTAAAAGATTTAAATTAGTTTCGAAATGTCGAACACATTTTTGATCGAAAAATATAATGTCGAAAATTCAAGTGATCAAGTATAATGTAAATGCAATATATGGCTCAAAAAATAAATATTTTTAGATAATTATGGCCATCAGTTTTACGTAAGTATCACATAAAGAGGGCTTCTGAGTCCATATTTAAATAATTTTAAAATTATACGAAGGTGGCTTCTGAGTTAATTTCTAAATAATTTTAAAATTATATAAAGGGAACTAGACTTGAGTAGTATTCCGAATACAATATTCGGAATACTGTATTCAGAATACTTTTTAAATACTTTTTTTGAAAGTATTCAATAAAGTATTATGAATACTTATAACGAGTATTCTGAATACTGTATTTCGAATACCATTATATCATCTCTTTTTTAAATAATTTTATTACTATTAACTTACTTTTAACTATACCCTATCTTGTATAATTTAATATCAGGTATTTATTATTGTTGTAAACCATAAACTATAACAGTTATTTAATAATAAAATACATTAAAATAACATATATTTAGCATACAATTTCAAATATTTCTGTTGAGTAGACATTTATTATTTTTATAGTATGAAATCTAGAAGTATTTTAAAAGTATTCAGAATACTTTTAAAGTATTCTAAATAATGTATTCGGAATACACTTTGTATAAAGTATTTGAATACATATTCGGAATACTATTTTTTATAAGTATTTGAGTATTTATTCTAAATACTTTTAAAAAGTATTTTACACAAGTCTGAATGGAACTCCTGAGTCAATTTTACATAATTTGAAAATGATTTAAAAATTGACTCAAAAGACCTCTATTTTTATTACTTACGTATCATAGATTTCTTTTTTTGTATATGATATTATTTTTAATTAATAACATTCTTCCATGAATTCTAGGGACGATATCAATATTCATGACATATTTTAGTTATTTAGTTGCATTAGTTAGTTTATTCTGTTCTTATACTTGGAATTTCTGTTGACGATTACAAGATGAAATAACAAAAAAAAAATAAATATTATATATTTATAATATTTTATTTATGTCATATTTTGAAACGCTCTTGCATAAACAACGGTTGTGACGAGCTTTTTCCACCTTGTATAGGGTAACGTACTACATGTTTTGAAGTAGTGATTTTCAATCATCGATATTTATACATTTATGTATAAATATTATTTAAATGTATTATTACGCTGCACTACCCCCAACACCCCACCGCCACCCTAACTTTAAGTATTGTTAGCTTTATGTTTTTTCGTTTTTGTCACGACTAAATCAATACCATAAACATTGGTTTTGGTTTACCTTCCTTTACGGATCATGTCCGATATTTCTTGTTTTCAGAAATACCTATCTAGTGAACGAGTTAAAATTTTTTTATTTCGGATTGTAGTGTTTTGTTTTCATAGGAGACCAATTGACAAATGTCTAGATAGTATCCGCAAACGTATGAACGGTTTACGAAACGGCGAATTTGCGTTATTTTCCTAAACTGTATTATGGTACATTTATAGATCATTACTGTATAGGATTTTTAACCTTGAATAATTTAAAAAATTTTGTTTGAGATTTTTATATTTTTACCCTTAAAAATAACGGGAAAATAATTTCCTAGTAACGTTTACGGAACGAAAGAAATATAATACTACAATCGATAAATAATTTAAAGAACAATATTTTTTCCTGGACCTAAATGTGCATGGATAATTTTCTTTTTTTATTAAAATATGTATTACGATTTATGAAAGCGTTTTTGAACAATTTATTTTTTAAATCACACTCACGAGTATATATTTGATAAACAATGTACTGGTGTATTCTATTGTATGCATATTTTTTACTTTGAAATTTGAATTTGAATGTTGGATACGAGTATGTTCCATATAATTGTAGTATATAAAATACTATCCAGTTAAATATTCTCTTACAAAAATAAAAAATAAATTAAAATAATTAGTTATATTAATTTATAGGTCTGAACTATTTTTAACCAAAAATAAAAATTGAACCAATTACTATTTACTACTTCAACATTATTATTTGTAAATTAATTTTTTTATTTTATTCGTCAACTAGCTATAAATAATTTACTAAGGAATCAAATATTTCAGATTTAAATAAACACTTAGTTTTCCCATTGAAATAATAATAAATGATTTATTATTAGTGAAAATTAATCATCAAGCATATGGTAAACTCATAAGTATAAATGTTGAATCTTTTAAAAACCTTTTAAAATATTAAAGCCCATTTTTTGGTGTAATTTTTAAAATTCCTAAAAACAATAGCTGATTTTGGATTACACAAATCTGAAACTGGTTACACAAAGTTAACATGTTCAGTGTGTAAGATTTTTAAAAAAAAAAAAAACACGGCAGGTCATAATTTAGGACAATGCTTGGGTATAATTATAAATAAATAAATATAATTAGAATATACAAAGATTTTTGCATTTTTCAAACTATAATTTTCTTCACATCAAAGCTGTAACTGTCGTATTATTTCAATCTAAAATTGATAATAAAATATCTCCCGGATGAGGCAAATTAATTTATAACTTATTAAATTAAAACATTAATTATTAGTCAACATTTTATTCAGTTTAAATAACTTTATTAAACTATAACTAGAGATCTAAAAAAACATATGTCTGTCCGTATTGCATGATACGTTTCACATAATAAATTTCCATCTGTATTCATAAATATTCAAATTATATTCAACTCGACTTTAAATATAATACCGAAATATAAAATCTGATAGTTGTATATTATACCCAAATTAATCATTCCAATTCGAATTACTAGATATGTACTCCGTATTGATATATAAGTACATATTAGTATATTTAATCTATGGTATTGATAAGTATACTGTGTCTAAAGGCAACTTACAAAGTGAGCAGTCCACTTGATTTTTTCTTAAGTTATTATTATTTAATATGCATATATATTATATATAGGTATATACATATTCAGGTTTTCATTAACTTCTCCATCTTTGTTCGTATTCATCATTGTTCACTGTTAATAATATTATCTACTATCATTTATATTAGTTTGTATTAACATAGTTATTAACTTCTGCTATTATTACCAAAAAATCTTTTCGCATGGAATAATTAATCTTAATGGTTATGGCCTATGAACATACTCAATATAATAGGGCAGCAGTGGGCAACTGGCGGAATGCGGAAATAAATTAACTGGATCGTCCTACATATCTTACTTACAGTGGCGGATCCAGGGGGTTTAGGGGTTAACCTCCCCCCAAATCATGAACAATATGTATTGAAAATCAATAATTTTCATTATCAAGGAAAAATATTTTTCAAAACCTCCCCCCCAAAAGGATCCACCACTAATTACTTAAATGCATTAATTACATAATTTTAAATAAGATTTATTATGATTAATGAAAAAAATAGAATATTTTATTTAATTTGGTATTATTATTTTATTTTATTCAACTTAGATTACAGTTGTATCTTAACAAAATTAACAACATATATTTTTTTTAAACTCGTTTCTTTATTATTTATGTCTTAATTTTTTAAAATATTATTAAGATATTGGTTAATTTTTCCAAAGGTGTCAAATATTCATTTATTATAAAAAATAAATAAAATATAATAAATAATTTATTATACAACGTTTTTATCATTGTCGTTGTGTTAAAAAAAAAAAAAAAAACGGAAATGTTTTACCACGGAGAAAGTTATTTGGTCTCGTGTAATAACGAAAACTTGGGTATTTGAAACTGAAGGTCAAGTGAGAGAGAGTATATTAATTAGGAGAAATCGAGATTCAGAGAAAATTTAGTACCAGGAGACTAGAAATCGTAACTGCATTTCGGCACCGTCTTGTAGATGAGTTTCGGTTGATTATACGAATGAATCACGTTTACGCCGCTTATACCACTCTAACCTACCCATACCTATAACGGTCAGGGAAATTATATGTAACTAACACCATAGATTAAATATACATATATATGTACATGTATATTTAATCAATGCTAACACAATGTTACTCAGCGAAAAAAAGATAAAAACAAATATAAAAATTAATAACAATATTATTCTGTTATCAAGCAATTAATGTTGCACCAAAGTTTATTAATTAAAAAAATTAAAATTCCATATTATATAAATAAAATACAATTATTATCATAAACTAGAGAATTTATGATGTGAGATATAATTTACATACTAATTATATATTTAAATAATAAAAATCCATCATTGTATAAATATCTATTACCTTCTTTACATCGCTACATAAACTAAAATACGCATCTTATGACAAACATTTTATAACTCTAGATCTACAATTTAAAGGCGGAAAGATTATGGAAAACAGTTTAATTGGTAAATGGATGTTGCGGCGTCTCAGAGTCTGATTCTTCCATGTAACACGTTTCACAGCAGTGTTTCTGCAAGAGCTCCACAGAAGTTTTGTAGATTACGTAAAAGATTTCCACTATGCTGACTAGACTACAACCGAGAAACAGACTGGCTACTCCTCCAAACGATACTGGTAAAATATGAAATCGACAATGACATAATTATAGAAGGTGACCGACAAAGATATAAAATTATTTATGTAGTAATATAATTTATAATGTATTGCAATGTAATTTTTACCAAGTGAGCATAGTTTATTATTGATCAAAAAAATTAAAATTTGTCAAAGTTATACTAAGAAAAATACAATATATCATTCATATTTGATCAAGAATAAATGTTTAGGTAGAAAATACACCATAGAAAAAATTAAGAAACGATTCACTTGGACGATCATTCTGAATTTATAAACTCAAAAGTAGGCGTCTAACGTATATACAGTGACGGTTTATGCTATGGTGCACAGAAACACATGAACCACTAAAAACAATTATGTAACATTTTTTTAGTTTCCTATAATAAATTATAATCGGTTATTATGCATATAGTTTGTAATCATTCAAAAATGTTTGTTAAAAAAAAAAGTTTTCGCAGCTTTACGTGTTGAGAAGTATAAATATTAGCGATTAAATAATTAACGGACCACACATTCGTTGTGCTTCAGGACAAGGGCGGCTCGTCAGGGGAGACTGAAACTGTGTCTCCCCTTAAAAAAAAAACAGCTACTTGTAAATAATTACTATTTAAAAATGTATAAAAATATTTTTATTTTTATTGAAAATATGTTATAGCGTTTTATCAGGGCCGTATTTAGGGGAGAGCTACAAGATGCTGTTGCCCCGGGCGGCTGAATATGAGAAGGTGGCTAATTTTTCTATATTTTCAATATTTAATGATCTAATATTTTTGAAGTGAAACCGCTTTACAAAATAAAAAGTGTATCTAAAAAAAAATATATATCGCCAATTGCACGGCGTTACGACACACACACACACACACACACACACAAACTCGATAACGGTTGAGTACTGTCGATAGATCCAAAGATTTATAAACAATCTATCCTTATGTTGACATTGCACTTAGAATGTTTTTGTGTACACCAGCAACGAATTGTTCTTCAGAAACATCTTTTTAAACTCGCAGAAATTTGTATTTGGTATAATGAAGCGTTTTTAATTGTTGCCCCCTGGTGTCAAATTCCTAAATATGGCCCTGCGTTTTCTATATTTAATATTATAAATTTAAAGCCAAATAAATATAAGATCTATAAATAGTTATTTCGATGGAAAAACTATTTTAGTACTTTCGACGACGGTCACCGTTTCAGTGTAACTGATGTCCGACAGGTTCAATCGTAACATGTAATGGTTTGGCTTGTTAGTCGGTGGGAGCCGGGGAGAATAATTTACGTATTTATAGACTTTATTGAAACTGGGTTCACAACAATAATTTCCGTACCATCGCGCCGTCGTTAGTCATTGTACACCGTACATTCGCAGATAAAAAGTATTGCAGAACTAAATTAGTTTATAAAAAAATTACAATCAAATTAAGTTAAAAATATTAACTAAATATTAAATTAAATATTAAGTGTAATTCATTTTTCAATAAAAGGGTTTTTCATGTTCGTAGTTGCATGAAGTTTATGTTAAATAATTTAAGTCTTCTCAGAATATTTACTACGAGCCGCTACTGTTCCAGAGGGCCTTACAATAGCTACGTGCGTAGACACGTCGGTTAGTAATCTATGGTCGTTTGGAGTTCAACCGATGTGTGCACCTGATTAACTGAAGACCACGTAGCAACAATTACACATTTCACTCTTTTTGAAAAAATCGTTTTTTCAGCTTTTATAGTTACAAAAAAATATTTTTCGTCGATTGATACAACAATCAGACGAATCCGATCATTAAATACAGAGATTTTATACAAATGGAGATGTCCGGTTTTTATTACGGTGCAACAACAAGGCATATCAATAACTGCATACATTGTTTTTTATATTTTATACAAAGAAAGTATTGATATTACATATAGTTTGTCACTGAGGTTATATTATTTTTAATTATGTTTTATAATAAATTGGATTTAAATATCAAATACAAAGAGTTTAATGATATCGTGTATTTCTTACAAAGTATATATTTATTATATTGGTTTAAAAATGTAATGCTTTTAAAGTTTTGTAAGGAATAATATTATATGAACTTAATCTTATTTAACAGAATAATAAATTGTTTAATAAATTTGACAATAGGAAATCAAACATTCATTACATCTAAAGCACATAAATTATACATTGTTCGCGTTTCAGTTGTACTGAATGCTTGGTTGTCTATTGTACAATTTTTGCTAACTTCGTCTTTCTGCCATTTACCGTTCATTATAATTAATAATTTATGAGGATATTGAACGAAAAGTAGGACACAGTGTTTAAGTAGAATAAAAAAAATAGATCGTCACATGATACCCATTGTTATGCGCGTAACTATTAAAAATTGTTTTATGCGTTCATGTCCCATAATAATTATTATACTTCAATATATTATACTATATACCTTATTAAATTGCACAAATTATTAAGTAGATTTTAAAGAAAACTAGTTATTAATAATTGTCCCTTCGTGAATACTAATAATAAGAAAAAATCTAACTAGCCGAAGTTTGAAAATCCTGTTTTCGGAATCTGAAAGTCGAATTTTTTGGAGAATCCAAATTTATGACCTAACACTACTGTACATCTATCATGTATAATATTTAGTTGCCTTTTTTAATTAGTATAAACTAAAAAAAATTAAAAAATATAAGCTATAAAACATAAAATAATAAATATATTAAAATATAAACACATCATTTTGATTTCAATACCTAACAAGTCTTGCGTATTGTATTTCATGGACCGTCGGTAGCTCGTAGCAAACAATTCTCTATAATTCACTTCCACGTCAACCATGTATCTCGTAGACAAAACTTTTGTGTTAATAAATGATCTGTAGAAATATAAAATCATAATTCACACCATTATATTCATAGAATTTCTAAATGCTTTATTTCGGGAATGGGTAACAGTTTTTTTTTAAATTTTTGTTGTTTTCATTGGGATATCGTACTAACATAATATTAGTAAAATTGACACTAGTTGTTGGCAGTGGCATAATCATAATTTTAAATATTTAGCCCAAATTTGAAAAACATAAAGGCTTAAATTCTAAATTATTATTATTATTATTATTATTAATATTCTATATTAGGTCTAAAGGAAAAATAATAAAACTAATTAAATGTCCTTAATAGTTTATATTATATTAAATAAGGAAATATCTGTAAATAGAACTATAAATAATTTATATCTTCATTAAACAACAGTTTTACTATCTTCGGAATCGGATATTTCATCGAGTTTCCATTAAACAACATTAGTTATATAGTTGTTATTTTATAAATTTTAATTGTAGCGACACGAAACATTTACTGAATAATTATGTTCGCATTTTAAAGTTGTTTTGTAATTTCGAATTAATGAAATGTGTGCTGCTTACAGACATTTTACATTTGCCCAAGTGTTATAAGATGTTAAAAGTGTTATAAGTGTTAAAAGATACCTTTTTTCTTTTGTGCAAAATATAAAACACAGTTTGAAAGTTCGACCTATCATATTAATTAATGTAGTTCTTTTGTAACAACCATTTTTAGAAATATGAAACGATCTACCCGAATTATTTCACTAGTAATTGTTTTTCGAAAGCAATGGCTAATTTGTTCCAAGAATTTTTCAATTTTCAACTCGTAAATATTTGTAAAAAGAGACGAAAAAAGAAGAAATATTACTCCAGAAATGGAAAAAGGCTCTCTCCTAATGCAGTCACATTCACAGCATTTCTCAATTTATGCAACTGACTACAAGAAATACCATGTCAATAACATATTAATAGATACCTACTCGGGCTAACTTTGACGTGGACCGCGCAGCAGTCGTCATGACAACGGTTGTCGACGGCCGTGTCTATCTTTTCTGATCCACCACAAGTTCGCGGGGCGCGTCCATCAACGTGGTGGGAGTTTATTGATTTCGCCGAAACTACATGCTTGGGAAAAAGGTTTATATCGATTCCGCCGTACGCTGTTCGCCCCCTACCCCCCTTGTAGTATTAGATAAAATGTCTAAATTTTATAAAATTATAGTAACCGTTTACTTCAATATAACAATAATATAATTGTATGTGTATTCAAATATATATTTACCAAGACTTTGAATAAGTTTCCACCAATTTTGTGTCAAATGAAATCTATATCCAAATGCCTGTATTTCAGACCATATTGTTTTTGCACCAATATATACAGATTCTTCAAAAACAGAAACTATTTTTTTATGGAGTGAATAATAAATTTGTGTCTGAACATTTTTCCACGACATATTCAAATCATCGAGCATATGTGTCTTTACATTTGTCTTGTAGTAAAAAGTATACGAGTTAAAAATAATGTCCGTTCTTGAAAATGTGTATAGTAAAAAGCTAATGAATATATTTTGATATTATAGTAGTATTATAACAATAGTCGGCGGAGTCGATACAAAATCGGCGGAATCGATATACGTACTTACGCTGCGCTGCCCCCCCCCTCCCCCATATGAACAAGTATAGACGGTTGGAATAACATTTCATCCGCCCCCCCCCCCCTCTATGACGAATAATTTAATAAATATTATACATAAATAATGTGTATATATATATAACATCATACGTAATTATTACGCTTAAATGTAACACAACTTGCTTACCCAGAGTAAACGTCACTGATTACAATATTATTTTATACATACACACTTGCACAGGTATTGGAAGGCCAATATACGTAGTATTTTCAAATAAAGTGGGTGATTCGATCTTTATAACTTTTCAACTAATCAAACTTATCAGGTTTCAGTAACCTACATATCGATCACTCCTTTCATATTCATGCTAATTACGTGCTAATTGATGGCATACAAAATGTCTATATTTTTTCATATGGGGGTTGGAAGCAGCGCAACATACGTGATATACGCGTCAACGCGACACCCGATTTCCCATCTATCACAGGAGGGGTACCTAGCAGTGGCGTGCGGTCAGGACAAGCTAGGTAAGCGGCGCATGCCCAGCCAAAAATAAAAAAATAAAAAGATTAATATTTCTGATGTTAAATGACAATTTATTTACATTAAAACATTAAAATTACAAATATTTATTAATTCTTATTTTTGTGTTCAATTTAAAAAAATGTATCAGATTTTGAAAAAAATTAAATGATTTTTTTTTTATAGGCAATTTCTCTACAGAAGCGTTAGTATTTTAGATTGCCTTTCTTATATAGTTATTTATAGGAATGACCAGTTGTGGTAGAAGGGGATATACACGTTTTTACGTGATGGCTATGCCGAGCGCTTATCGATATTTTTAAAAACGAAATTCCAATATTCTTACAATGCATATCGGATTATTTTTGTTTTCAATATACATATTATAAGTTATAACTATACTACTTATATTATACTATACTATACTTATGATAAATAAATTATTTTGTCGTCAACCGTCAACCGTCAACGTGTCCACAAGTCTTCATAGTTAAATTTTGTTGAACAAAAATTTTTAATGTAAGTATATTAAATTCCTATTGCATAATTTTATGGAATTAGTATAGATAATTAATATTTAAATAAATAAAATTATTATAATTAAGAGGAATCAAATTATATTCGTTGTTTATATTTGTTTTTATAGATAATGAATACTTATTCAAACAATTGCTTAATCAAGCATCTTTTGGAAAATGAATTTAATTTAAAAAATGTTGATGAAAAATTAACAATTGTAAAAAATGGTCGACCATGTCCAAAAATTCCAAAATTGACATCTTATCTTAAAGAAAAAAACAAAGTTTACGTTTGTTATTTTAATATTTCTAATTATTTTAATACTTTATGGTTGGCTGGTAGTGCAAAATTAAATAAAATGTTCTATTGGCCTTGTGTTTTATTCACCAGGGAAAAAAATGTTTGGTCTCATAGTGGTTTTGTTAACTTCAATAATTTAATAAATGGTATTCAAAAACATGAAAGATCTCAAACACATATTTCTTCAGTTTTAAAATTAAAAAAGTTTGGAAAATCTAGAATTGATTTGCAGCTTGATGAACAAAAACGTTTAGATGTAATACGCTATAATGAATTGGTAAAAAAAAAAATAGAGACGTTTTAAAACGTTTTATTGATTGTGTTTGTTTTTTGGCGATCCATGAATTACCATTTAATGGTCACAATGAAAGAGTTGATTCTTTCAATCAAGGAAATTTCCTCGGTTGTTTAAATTTATTATCATCTTATGATTCTATTTTAAACGTGCATTTAGAAACATCAAAAATATTCCGTGGTACATCCAATAGAATTCAAAATGATCTTATTTGCTCAATTAGCAACATCATATCAACGTCCATTGAATCAGAAATAAAAAATTCTAATTTTGTTGCAATATTATTAGATGAAACTTCAGACATAACAAATCTGTCTCAAGTATCAACAACTTTAAGGTATGTCCAGCATGAAACTGGGGAAGCACGTGAACGTTTTACCTCATTTGTCGACGTTAATGTTGATAGAGCAGCAGACGGTTTATTAAAACACGTAGTTGATATAGTTAATAGGTATGAATTAAAACATAAATTAGTAGCTCAAACTTAAGACGGAGCGTCCGTTATGAGTGGTCATGTTGGAAGACTACAAGTTAAAGTAAAGGAGCCCTACCCAAAAGCATTATTTGTCCATTGTTTTAGTCATTCATTAAATCTTGTATTTTCACAATCAGCATCAAATATAAAAGACTGTAAGATTTTTTTTCAAACACTTACTGGTATGGCATCATTTTTTACTGAATCTTCTAAACGTACACATGTTTTATTTAATTTTACAAGAAAAAAAATGCCAAAAAATGCGCCGACTAGATGGAATTTTTCTTCTAGCTTAGTAAATACGGTTCATGAATACAATTCATATTTCAACACGTATTAGATAATTCCAATGATTGGGGTAATGAAGCGATAGTATTATCTCAAGGGTTCATCAACTTTTTGGATAGTCGACAAACATACTTTTTGCTAATAGTATTTAGTATAATATTTAGTTTGACTGATATTTTATATGAAGTGTTACAAACTAAACGTTTAGATATTTTATATCGTGAGAAAAAAATTGAAGAAACTAAATGTCAACTACAAAATTATTGGTTAAATCTATTTGAAAAATTATGGGAAACAGTTTTATTAAAGGCGATTTTGAGCTACAGCGTAAAATTCGTGACCAGAAAACATTTTAAAAAGTACTTTTTAATGAAATAATTGATATCATATTGACAAATTTGCAAGCGCGATTTGGTTCTTTAAATAAATTTGAATTTTTGTCATTAGTTGACTCAAGTAATGTAACGAATTTCAAAACTCTGATCTAGAAAACTTGCGAGAGTCAATTTTCGGAGAAATATTTGATTTTATTAGATTACGAAACGAATTAATTGTATTATACACATCTGAAGAATTTTTAAATATTAATCCATATGATTTAGTCAAAAAAATTAAGATAAATGATTTAATATCTACGTCCCAAGAAGTATTTAAACTCAGTCAATTAATTTTAACTATTCCTAGTACAACAGGTTCAGTTGAACGTTCTTTTTCGGTATTAAAACGAATTAAATCGTATCAAAGATCTACACAAGGGCAAGAAAGACTTAGTTCATTATCATTAATTTCAATCGAAAAGGAACTCCTGCACAAAGAAAAAAATCATCCAGAATTTTATGATAAAGTTATTAACGAATTTTTAAGACATGAAAGGCGAATGGATTTTATCTATAAATAAATTTTAGATTGTAATTTTTATTTTTTATTAATAAAATACCTTTTTTTTTATTTTAATTTGAAATTTTATTTTAGCGCTTACCCAAGATAAAATATTACCGCACGCCACTGGTACCTAGAACTATCGCGACGACGTCCACTGCCACCGAGTCTATGCGTGTGTTCCGCGATTGAAAAACCATGATCATACGCGTCATGGACCGTCCACCGAAAACCATAATTTTTGTCATTTGTGTATCGTGTATAGATTGTATTAATTCATGCAACTGGCTCAAGCGCCTGATTTTATTATTATCGATATGGAACAAATGAACGAATCCGTTTGGACGTGGGGACAATTGGAGGTCAAAAAAATTAATTAAAAAAAATAAAATTATAAATCATTAAATAAAATAAATTTACTATTTATATTAACTGTATTATCTTATAATATTAAAAATTTATCAATATTTTGCATTAATGCAGAGAAATATTGTGAGCGATTCCGCGTAAAAATGATATTTTAGCTTTACTTTCATGAGTTTGAACAATTCTTAAAACACGTCTGTCCGCATCAATAAATTTATTTTGGGCAGGGACTCTTATCTGCTTCAATTTGGCTGTAAAATACAAATCGTCCGGCTTGTATTTTTCACAAACTAGGAGGTTGATATTCATATGTTATTATACGAGTTACCTATTCTTAAAACGATAAAATTCAATCTTAGGTAATACCTACGAAATATTCAATAACAATCGATTAAGTTAAATATGATACAATACCATTAATTATATTATGAGTAAATAATATCAAAGATTTTATAATGTATAAACACCTATAATTAAACCATAACTATTGATTTTTAATTTTTTTTAATTTGTCTTATCATTTTAACGATGATCTATTATAATAATAATATTATTTATTTTATTTATACATTTTTTTTTACATCCAAACGGCTACGTCCATTTGTCTCTATTCGGTTTAGCATAATAAACACTGTTATACCATCGGACATCATGGTTATTTAATTTCCATCGATCATCATATTGTGTTGTTTTGTGCGTTCTACATCGGACGCGCTTCCCGACAACTTTGAGCCCAGCTAATCATGTTTTAATATTAAATATCTAGTTTTTTCATACTGCGATTAGTTTTATATTTTATATCCTACCGAAACTATAGTAATTTATGATCTGAATTAAATATTTTAAATCAATCCTAAAATTCGATGGGCTACAACAATCAGTAATCATAATTACAACTCTACTACATTACTTTTGAATAAAACAAAATTTTTGGCCTGCCTACAAAAAAAAAAAAAAAATTACCAAGTTCCACGCGTACATACGTGCTTACCTTACGTCATGTTGAAGCTCGGTTGTATACTCGATAAACGAACACGGTGATGGGCAACTGCAGTTCATGGACACTGGTATGCTCCATTCGAAAAACCCTGGTTCATCTATCGGAGCCGTTGGGTTCCGTTGAATTACTAAAGGTAATGAAAATATGTATAGGTACATGCAGATTCGTGCAATACGATGTTACAAAACACGACGTCAGAAAAAGACATTTGTGTGTCGTATAGACATTTTACTGATAGCTTTATAAATAGAAAAAAAGATATTGAGAACGTTCGATATTACCATCGTTAACAATCAAACACGGTATGTGTTGAATTCCACAATGAGTTCCAAGGCCTACATAAGAAAAGAAATACAAACTTAGATGTTATAATACATATAATAGATAATAGGATTTTTAGATTTTAAATGCATAATAAATTACCGAAGGAACTTTAATTTCAATAAATACAATCGTAAGTGTTGCTATGTTTTATTCGGTTATATGATTATAACTTTATTTTTATGTTATTAAAAAAATGTCAACATGTATTTGTTATTTCTAATATAAACTCATATGGCACATTATCGCGCGATTGGATCAGAGACACATCCATAAACAAATTTATTTTCAATTAATTTGGAGCTGCAGCATTTAGGAGGGTTGATTAGATAAACTACCAAATTGATTAAAAATCGTGTTTAAAATATAGAACAGTTATTTTTACTAATTTAAACTCGTTTCATTTATGAATTATAAGGAAAACATGCTTCACTATTAATAATGTGGTGATATTTAAAGTCACGATAGCAATAGTGATGGGTTTTGAGTAATAATTATATAAATCATTTTTAAGTCTTTGTACATATATAAAAAAAAAATTTAAATATTTTTTTATGTAGATATGTCACATAAAACATAGGAGGAGAGGCTAAGTTAAATGAGAGCTCAATTTTTTTTTTAGAGGGGATAAAATTTAATTTTGCCTAGTGCACTATTTTTTGCTCGGGCCGGCTCTGAGTCAGCATCTAGATCTAGATCAGTTACGTTTATCTTTTAATGTACCGCGATGCTGAAATTCAGGGCCGAACCGTTAATCCGTACTTACCTTTGTACGGTTCGAAAAAGTACTGCGTGCAGTTGCACTTGTCGTAGACGGTCTTCAGTCGGCAATCGCTGTAACACGTGTCCTCGTTTTCGCTCGCGAACTCCGGAAGGTCGTCCATCGTTTTCGCGCCGTACATGTAACAGTATCGGTTGTGCTTGCTGAGGCGGTTTAGCGAATCGTCCGCCTTCACCTGGGCCACGCTCACCGATATCCGATAGATGCGATCGTGCGCCGCGTGCAACTTGTAACCGGTCGACACGTCCGGGAACGTTTCGGGCGTGTGCACCATCACCTGTTTTGCAGGGTGGGTGAAAAAGAATCAGACGGATCAGAAAATCCATGACGTAACGACAGCGACGCACGCCAGCGACGAACCGTGCGCGCGATAGAGGTCTGCATGGTCTGGTCAAAACCGGTCCGGATCGGACCATGGTCTGGACTTTTGGTTTTTCAGTTTACCGCGGTCCGTCCGGCCCGGTCCAGTCCCCTCGTTTAAAAAACCTTAAACAACAGCCGCGGCATCGTTGGAACACTGTCACTGCTGTGTCCATTCCTTCGCGCGACGACGTTATTGTAACAGGTTGTGCTTATGTTAATCGCTCGTTCGTCTAATACCGCCGTGCGCAAATTCAAAGTTCATCGCACGGTTCGACCATGCCAAATACCAGTACTTCCCTGGTAAAGGCACTAGCAGGAACGCGCTCTCTCCGCGACTTGAAAACAATAACAGATGTGCACTACTCTAGAATCTTAACGATGATTCAAACGGTGCCAATTCGGAAGTTATCGATATGGATATTTTGCAGGTAAAGCAAAAAATTAATCATTATATATTTACGATATTAACGACTGTACTGATTTTATAAAAAAAATCTCACCAATAATAATCGAAAACGTCAACATTCATAAGAAAAATATTTTTTTATGAATAAACTTATCGGCCGTCTATCGTTACTGTTACAAAATATCTTTCCGAGATCAAAATTAAGTATCAAAGGTACATATCAACTCCCGGAAGATAGAATCCTTTCTGTGATAATCCAAAAATCTACCGATCTCGATTACTGAAGTAGAAATTTATGAAGCATTAACCGAATTAGAGTACAACTTCACTAACTACAAACCCGTAACCCGTCTATAAACCGTAAAAAATCACCAATCCCAAATTGGTCGGCTACTCGTAGACTATAGTATTTTGTCATTACATAATGTTACAAAATATACTCGTACGACGTTTTACATATGATTCGACGTTGCGTGGTTGCGAAACGCAAAAACAATAATAATCGACTAGTCGCATTGTTATCGCAATACTGTTTATAAATAAAATAATTTGAAATAAAAATGTTTATCTATATTCTGTAATCGCGTTGGCCTACATGATTTCGTTGTACATACAATTTAATATAATTTACCCGACTATTATATCTACTAAATATATTTTCTTCTTTTCGAAAATTAATAACTTTAAAATAAACAAATCATTGGTACGTTGTATATGTTTTATATTTATTTTTTAAATATCGAGGATTCACTATTTCTGGTACCATGTATTCAATATAGAATTCTGATAAAATCAGCTCCATTCTATTACGCCAGAAATCATCATCGCGTTCAATTTTATCCACACAAATTCCTTACAAAAATAATTTTAAAAAAAATTACAATAATGAAATAATAATAAATAGCACGTTCAGTAAAATGTATACCTTTTGGTGTCCATATAACAAAGTAGCAATATTTTCGGTCTATTATACGCAACTGTCCTTGTGTCTGGTAGTAATAAGAATGAGTTTTTTTTAAAAATAGGTTACTCGATTGTACATACATAAAGTTCAACTTTTTCTATTTTTATGCATCAAGAGGAGTTAAATCTTTTATAAAAAATTGGCATTTATTTTCTATAATTGAATCATCCCCAGTAAGACCATCTGGCGTTGCTGCTTGAAATGGAAGATGAGGGTCAACAAACAATCCTGCTGGAGCTACTTCATATCCAAATTTTTTCTCAAATTAATTTTTAGCAATAGACTCAAATTGTATGCCATACCTAGTTTACTAAACAAATAATTTATTACTCTAATCGACTATTATCTTTATCGACATTCGATCGATATCCAGTGGGTTATACGGTCGATACAGGTTTATAGTATTATTTATACTTACACAAAAATTATAACTTATTAAAAATTATAACTATGAGGACTTAGTACTCTTAGTATATTTTTTTTCGACTGGTTGAAATATGTATATTTAGTTGTATGTACGAGTATCTATAGTTTTTAATTTTAAATTTGAAAAATTTGTCAAAATATGCACTCTCCTGCAAAATCTATCAAATATGCAAAAATATGAACATTCAAATATTAGATCTGATATCATAGCACCGAGAAACAAATTTATTCCGTACTCTGCTATATTTAATAATAATTTAAAAAAGTATGCTAATGCTAGAAGTCCCTAAGTCTAGTCATCACCAATCTCCCTACTTTATTAAATAATCTTAATAATTTATTAACATAAATAATATTTTTAACATCGCCATCATAAACTGGAACGTAAATTTATAAACACAAATCATTTTTTTTCCTAATCAAGAATTTAATTATAAAATAAAAATACTAAAAAAACGTATTCAGAATACGTATTGTAATATATTTTTTAATATCGTAACCAAATGAAAAAAAGGATTTAAATATTTTTATTCGAATACTTTACAAGACAACTGTATATTGCCTGTGAAAAATGTTTGAAGTGGTTCATGATTTTGACTCACAACTGTAGAGTGCATAGTTATAAGTGTACCTACATGTATGAATACTCACATTGTATCCCCTCCTGCGCTCGTCATCGGGAAAGAACTCGTTGCTCATATTGTACATGACAAGTTTTAGTCCCGTCCTTTCACCTGCGGCGTTGTTTCTTATTGGAAAAAGTTCTCCTTCTTTCCCGATAAACGGAGGGTTGATAATATTGTCGACTCTATGTCACGAAAAACACTATAATATTATACTATTATTTGAAATACTCGTATAAAAATTCTACTAATTATTAGAAGACGTTAATATATTAGAATACGTTATAATATTAGAAGACGTTATCGTAAAATGACGATTATTAAAAATTGAAATGAAGTGGACATATTATAAGCAACTGTGTTCTAGATTACTAGATTATGACAGTTGTAGCAGACAGCTCACAAATTATCGCTGCCTGTGTGCCATCATCAGATCGCTAACCGCCGCGATACCAGACTGCGTTCTGTGTGCCTGAGCCTATAATAGTTTGACTCAGCACGATTTAACTACGAAGTGCACTATAGTCGTTGGAACAAGTTTCAAATTGTTGATAGGATTTTTAAGGAAATACATGAAACACTTAACGAAGATAAAAGTTCATTATTTATTTGCTGACATAGAAACATTCAAAGGTGAGCAAGTTAATAAAAATAATTAAGTCGAGTTAATTAAAGGTAAGAGAATACAAAATCGATAAGTTAAAAGTTAACAGGTAACAATTCATAAATTTAACTCGCCAAGTTAAAAGATAATAAAGAAAAATATTAACTTAACTCAGTTTAAAAAAAGTTAATCTACTTTTTTTAATTAGTATGTAGATCACAAAAGAAGTGGCTGCGTTCTTTAGAAAGATCTAATTTTCAAAATTATAATAAACAATTTGCCCACCTTTGGAAAGATTAATTGGTATCCTGATAATTTGATAACCAAACGAACAATTCTACAGCAATATCTAAAGTTCTGTAGCAAAGTCATTTGCTTGTCTAAATTTTAATGGATACACAAGCATCATATTCATACTAAAAATGAGTTTCTCAGTGGTTTTGTAAATAACCTTACGTACAGCACCTTATGAAATCCGCATTTCGCTATTTACAACGACGTATTAATTTTGTTCACGTAGTACTCATATAATAAAAATAAAATGTAAATAAAATAAAATAAAATATGAAAATATTTTACATCGATGATTACACGATGTAGGTACATCTTCCACGTCTACAATTTCGGATTAAAGGAGTGAATATAAAATATAAAAATATTTAATTGTTATATGCCTCACCTGGTCGCTAGGTGTTAATTGAGTTAATATGAAATATAAATATATTATACTTGCATTCAGTGACGCCCACAAGTTTTCCATGAACCAATGCAATTATAATTATAGGGCTCCCAAATTTATTTTGGTCTACATCCAAACAACTATATTCGTTTGATTGAAATAAAACATACTATTTTATATTTTTATTGGTTAGGTTACAGCTGCACCCGATATCAGATAATGACTGATTAAATGTAAGAAATGCGATAAAATAAATTTTCTATGTAGGTATCTCATCAGTATTCCACACAGTGTCGCGTGCCGTACGGGTCGACGTTGGTGCATACATGACATGTTAATTGTAATATAATTTTGTTGTTTTGTTGTTTTTTTTATTACACGTCAACGGATTTCTCTAGAAATCGCCAGGCGATCCACACATTTCACGTTTTATTTTATGATATTTCCGTACAAAATTATTTTCAATGAAAATTTTAAGCGTGAGGCCCTGTCTATATAGTAGTTACATAGCATATAAATCTTGGGGTGGCTTCCTGAGCCCTGACACAAACTACAAACACAATTAACGTTATTACACTCGTAGTTATCTATATTAATCATTATATATTTATATTTGTTTGCATATTTGGCACTGCCAACACTTTACCTTTTATTCAGCGATCTAAAGATCCAGATGAATAATTATGCATTTACAGTGTTTGCTCCAGAGATCAGAGTGGAACCCTCAAATTTATGTAGGCCCTGGGACCCACGAGAAATCAGTGCAATTGCACCACTTGGTACTCTACGTGGTCGCCACTGGTTGCATCATAAAATCGAAACATAAACGTGTTAGAATGAATGTACGAAACAGCTCGAGGTCAACTTTGAAGTAGAATAAATGAGCATCAAACCAAAATAGGATCCGGATAATAGGATTCGCAGGACCATTATCAAAACTACACTGCAGTTAAATGTTATACATCGTTAAAGCAAATGTATAGCTCTTTTCAAAAAAAACAATAAATGTCCCGTCCGCGATACGTATTATAGGTTTCAAGACCGATAATGCACACCGTTAATGAATATTGTAACAAACAAAATGTACGATTATTTGTTTCTACTTCTTTATTTAAAATAACACCATATAGGTACTTGATATTCCTCTTGGCCGTCTTGCTGTTGAACGAATAACAAAATCCTTCTTCGGTGCGTTGAAACCGCAGGATATCAACACATCTGTACGCTATACCTCGCCAAAAACACTTGTGAAATATATCCTCGATGGTCGGAGCCAACTGTAATTTCGTAAACAACGAAAAAAAAAAAAAAAAAGACCAAAAGTGCGAGGTGAAAAATGTATTTTTCACTTATATATATATATATATAGTATATTTTATAGTTATGTATAGTAGTATGATCTAAGCTATAGACTTCGCAATGCGGTTACTCGGTTGGAATCGACATCGATAAGAGTGACATGGAAATCGCGCCGCGCTTGACCGATTAACGGCACACTATTGGACGATCTGGCGTTCGGCGACGAATTTCGAAAATGCATTTTTTTATGCTTTCAAAGCATCTATATCGGACCTCTCATAATAATGTATCTATTGCTATATCATCTGCCAGATATAACCAAGTTGTGTTTTATTATTTTCAAAATATGTTGAGATTTTAAACGCGCACAAAGAGTTTATTGTTTAGAAAATGTTTCGACGTTTCAACTTTTTATTTTTATAGACCTCATTGTCATACTATTTTATGATACACAAAACACGTCCCGTATTGAATAGTTCTAAATACCCGCGTAGTTGTTAAAGAACACCGCTGATCTCGGTTTTAATGTTTTATTTATTCACGGAAAAATTATGTTTTACCCAATCAGGTTATAATGTACCTAACGCGCGCGTACCGATACCAATAACATCGTTCATTCGGGCGGCGATTACGGCAACTGCAGTGCAATAACAATTAAACGTTAGTTCTGGTCGCACAACTCACTTTCAACATGATGTCGGATATATCGTCCAGCGGTATGTGCACCACGGACCTGTTCTGTAGAAAAAAATGTAGATTCGTGTTTTGCGGGAATCTCATCCTTCCGAAAACTTGAAGGGAGTTCGACCATTTGGTTTTCATGTCCGAATCGTTAGAATATTTACTAAAAAAAAAAAAAAAAATTGAAACCCAACAACAACATACGAGTATATGATAACGTTGAAAACGGAATCAATTTCGCCCAGTGGACGTGATTCAGCACGTCGTTGTGACAGGTACGTGAGATCGGCTGGAAATCGATTAATTTTTTTTTTAATTCCTCAAAAATAATTGCCAATATTAAATTTAGGAACTCGCCGTTCTTCTCGGCAAGTTCTTGTGGGAGGGTTGAACGCTACACATCGATTGCCATCGATATCGGTACGGTGGGGAGTGGCGTTATGGTTTTTGGTCGGTTGGGAGCGCGGAGTTTTCGATTTATCTGACATCTAACGCACAACCCACGACTGAAACTTAAACGTGTGTATGTACATTAAGTTCTGGTGATATTTAGTTTTTTCGCCTCCCGACGCGATTTTATCGCAGTCGTCGATTCCCGAGACCGGAGAATCAATTTCAATGTTTACCGTTTTTATGTGTTATTTACATATTCGCATAATAAAAATAATCGACGGGGTGGCAGGTTTTCCCGTATCAATCAACAATACAAGGAATTCGTTTTCCATGACCACAAATGAACGAAAAACGCCCACTACTCGTAACGGCTCATTGACGTCCGATCAAGAATATTGTACGTCGACAACAAACCCAGTCGAAAGGAAATTGAATTGTATTGGAAATAATATGACTGTTAACACTTAAAAAAAACTAGTGTACATTTCACCGATATGAATGTTGTTGGTGAAAATAATTTTTTTTGATATTGGTGCATTAGCCAAATTATAAAACGGCGAAATGAATAGCTCAAAGAAATATTATATGATATAGCTTTTAACGCACAACAGCAGTTGTTTTAAAAATTAAAATATTAATGCTCCTTTTGTACTTAAATCCGTAAACATGTAGGTAGTAACATTTATAATAGTTTTGGATTAGTTATCTACTAGAGGTAGAGCGAAGAAGCTCATTAAATTGAAATAATAAATACTATTAAATTACTTTCTAAACATTATATCAACTGGTGTTTAGAATGAACTGAACAATAAGCAATTCATGATTCATAAGTTATTCAGTATAAATATATCATACATCGATTAATTATTTTTAAAAAAAAAATATTGAATTATACAAAAGTTGAAATTAAGTAATTACTTTCATATTATATTAAATTATTTTAATCAATAGTAAGATCTTATGAATAATATAACCGTTAATATAAGAATATTAAAATTTAAGTTATTTAAACCATCCAAACACCACATGACATAGTTTGCTATTATAAACATTTAAAATATGTAAAACGTTAAAAATTGTTAATAATATAAAAATATAATAATAATATTAAAATGTGTTTATGCTTGGTCAATTCAAATGTATTGTTAGTAGATAATGTGATAGTTTCTACTGTTACAAATAATATCTAGTTAAATTAATTTTATATACTTGAGCACTAAGCTGAGAGCCTTGGAATACATTATTTTGTTGATTGGGCAAATAGTAACTGCAGGAAAATCAATGTAGTTGAGTGGATAGCGAGGATTATCAATGACGACTTCCATTAAAGAATAAGAATACTTTTCCCATGATGATGATACTAAAACTATAATTATGATGCTAGCAATAATCAACAACAAAATCCACAGGAACCTGTTTTAATGCAAAGTTTATTACAGTTTGATTGCTAAAATTTAAATAAATCTTTTGGTAGTTTGATACCTCTCCCATGATCTTCCATTTTTTTGTACAACATGTCTCAAACCATGTATTGAACCATTTTCGCAGTAGTCAATCCAAATCATTTTCAGAGACATTGAGAATGTAAAATAACTTTAATTACGTATAAATTTGTTTTATTTTAATGTAAAAGGTATTTCTAACACTAACACTGAACAAGTGATAAATATACTGGGAAATTCAAAAAAAAAAAAAAAAAAAATAAGTGGAACTCCTACTTATCAATAATAAAATATTTAAGGGGTGATGACACTTTTTGATAAGAAATCAAATTAAGTCTGACATCTTGATATAAGCATAAAGAAATGGGCGTTGTTAAAAAAAAAAGGGAACAACTAAAGAAGTATAGTAATATAATATGTTTAGGTATTATTACTTATAACTTATACTTAGTATTTCTTTATCATAATAACTATGGCCAATATTTATCATAGAATAGATACAATATTTTGAAGATATTTTTTAACTAAATGATAAAGAATAACACCAATAATAATTAATTTTAAAATATCATGGATAATCATTAATTAAAAAAAATTAAGGAATTTCTTGTATGTTTCATAGATTCAAGGAGTATTTTCTTCATCAGGATATCCGTTTTGTGGTGATGATTGTTCTTCATTATGAGCACTCTGGAATTGCATTCGTAACCCATCTAATATATTGGGATTAGATGTTTGTAGACGAGTGACTATAGTTTGTCCACTAAAAAAAAAACCAAGAAATTATGAATATTATTAAGGATAATAAATATAAATTATGTTCATCACCAGTGAGATATAGCAAAGAGCTATATTATGTATAATTATCAATTTAATATATTTGTATAAAATATTTGATGTTGTACAAAGCAACATTTTTAATATTGAAGAAATTAAAAATTAATTTAAATTAATTAAATTTATATTAATTTAAATTGATTAAAAATGTTATATCTGCAGATATATGTTTTGAAATTAACTATATATATATTTAGAAAATGATTTAAAAATTTAAAATAATTCAAGTGGATAACAATAAACAATTTTAAGCAACTATACCAACAGAAATACCATAAATATTGAAACAAAGTTTCACAGTTGAAAGGTAAAAGCTCTTAAATAGTTTTTACAATAAAAATAATCAATGAAATTGGCTAACCCACCGTTTTTATTACATTCTTGATCAATTTTACTATACATGTATGTATGCAATGAACAATTATCAATTTTTAAGTAGCTGATTAAAAATTTGTCATTATTTAATTGATGTATTAAATGTAAGATTCATGTTTAAGAAATTGATATATGAATAAAGAAACGAACAAAAAGGAATTATGTTCAGAAAAAAAAAGCAACTTTAGGATATTATTTAAATATTAAATACTAAGTCATGAAAAACTTGTTTTGAACAATTAAATTATCAAAATATAATTTAACAGATTAAATTGTTATATAAATAAATATTGATGGTTTTAGAATTTTTTGCAATAAAATATTTTTAAATATATTGAATGATTTAAATGTACAAATTTAAAAATTAAAAACCAATTTAAAGAATATAAAATATTAAAATCATACACATTTATATTAATCGAAAATATACTTACACTTGCATAAGTCTATCTAATCCACCAGAAGATTGTTCAACATCTCCCAAAATGGTGTTTAACCTAAACAATAATTTATATAAAAATTGCTATAAAAATCACTTAAATTTTAAGTTTAATGTCTGATTAATTTATAAAATTTAATGTTACTAAAATTACGAACACTGTGTTAACTTCTGGATCATTCATCAGGCGTGCAGCAGTTTCCATTAAATTTGGAGAACCCATGGCGCTGTTAGCGGTGGTGGGAGAAGAATCATCTTGTGGTATTTCTTGTTCAGTAACTGTTTGCAAATTATTTAAAGTTAGTTGATAATTTCTCTGATAACCTAAATTTTCTGGATCTAATTCACATGCTTTTTTATAACATGACACAGCCTTTTGGTAATCTTTTAAGCAAGTAAAAGCCAAGCTGAAAAATAAATAAATATTTTTAGTGGCATATATATATATATATATATATATATATATATATATATATATATATATATATTATAACAAAAATCATGTTTAATTGAATGGTCAGTACACTTCAAAATCAAATATTTCACTCATTAATTATAATTTATGTTTCGTAGTAGGGTTTATATGTATAGAATTAAAACAATTTAATTTAGTTTTTCTAGATAAGCCACATTTATTTATAAAATTACAAATATACTGTCAAAAGTATTAACTTATTTTTTTTATATAGAAAATAATATTAAATTGATTAAAACTATAAAACTTTAATATTTTTATTACAGTAATTTAAAGCAATTGGAACTAAACTTTTGATTCAATGATGTTCTTATTTTATATTATGTACAAAAAATATTTTTTTATGTTAATTCAACCTACTTCAAAATATTCTAAGACAGTTATAATTACCCTAAACGGCAGTATGCTTTGCAGTATGTTGAGTCAAGCTCAATTGCTTTTTGACAGTCCTCAATGGCATCATTATACTTGCCAATTGCATTATAGGCAGCAGCTCTGTTGCAATAATAAATCGGATTCGTAGGATTTAAAGAAATGGATCTGAAAATAAAAATCTTTAATTGTTATAAATGTTTTAAATCTATTAATAATATATATTGAAATTGTCTTTTATAATCTAATTTTATATTTAAAGGCAATAAATAAGTAAATAAAATAAAGAAGTCATGAAAATCAAAATTAAATTTTTTAAAATACTTATTTAAAAAAAAACTAATAACTGCACATTAAATTTATCAAAATATTATGTAAGTATAGTTTTTATTCAATGTTTATTTAAAATATGATTATTTAACCCTATCAATGTAGAAATAAATTTCTCTATAATGCGTGCTGTGCTGAATAAATTTTAAATTTTCCAAGAATTTTATATTCTCCTTACAAAAAGTTTAATTAACATATATTCATCGGAATAATTTTTTAACAAAAATAATTAATTTTTGACAGAATTTTTCAATTTTTTATTTTCCTAAACCAGTAGTTCTCAAATCCGTATAAACTGTTCAAATATTACCATATACGTATGATATTATTTATAATATTTCTTTTTTTTGTAGGACAAACAGTAAAAATTTACCTAGAAGTAAGAACACTTTTATTTGTAGATAACTGTCAAAAACAACAAAAATTATTATCATTGCCAATGATGCAGTATCATAATTATTTTTTGGTAATTACTGGAAATGATAAAATATAAATTCATTCATAATATCTTGAGAATTGAACGGAAACAATTTTTTTTTTTCAATTGATTTTTTACTTTCTTCCCTAGATAGCACTGTATATTTTGTTAATGTAGTAATTACACCTTATTTTATGATAAAACAAAAGCGTATATGCAACAGTAGTACAACCGAGAAACAGACTGTTGTCGCGTATACGCGACAGTAGCACTGAAAAGGTTAACAATTCTGTTTGGGAAATATGTTTATAATAAGATTGTTATTTTTTACCTAAAATATACATTTAAAAATATAATAATAATAATAATAATAATTACAATAAATTTAATACATTGTGAATGTTTAAGTTTTGTTAGAAATAACAAAAATAAAGTTTTTTACAGCTTTCATTAGAAAAAAATGCATTAACTGTACTACTATTTTATCATAAAAGAAATATATAGTATGGACTAATTATTATAATGTATTAAAATTAAAATAAAAATAAATAATTTTATGAATATAAATTGAAAATATTTTGTATTATTAAATAGACAACTTTTAATTTTGTTCATTTATTTTAAAATATGAGTACTCGGAGGAGAAAAATAAATTATAAATAAATATATAATATATTTTTTATAAATAAAAATAAATCATATAAAAAATTTATGAAACTAAATAATTTTTTTTTAACTTACGCAGAATATGCTTCAATAGCTTTTTCATTATTTTGGTTTCTCATGTGATCATTCCCAAATTGCTTATGCCATTCAGCTTCATCCTTATCAGCTTGACTTATTTCAGATTTCTTATTGTTTGGCTAAAAATGAACAAGTAAATTATATTAAGTAAATTGAATCAAAATATTATTACTAGCTTTTAAAAAAAAATGATGTTTTCAATATAATAATAAATCTATGACATTTTAGTTCATGAATATATTAATATATAAATGGTATATTGAAGTATGTAAATACTTTTATTTTTTTATATAAAATTTTTATTAATCAACTACTGCCATAAATAGCTTTATATTCATATACATGAGTACAAAAAATTGAATACCAACATTCTAATATGAAAACATTTTTTGAAAATTATTCTAAATATTTTTCTTAGAACTTTTTCAAAATTAATATTTAAGGCATTTCTACACACTAAATAAAATATTTTATGCATTACATGCATAATTGCTGTAACATTATCATAAGTGTTGTACGCTATATCATAACATGGATCAGTAATCTAAATATTAAATATGTACTATAATACTCATACATATAGAAAGAAAACAAATGGATCATAATATATTTTTATATTTTTTTTTAAAAAAATTGGCTAGTCTCAATTTATATTTTATTTATAAATATTAATTAATGTTAATTCATTGGTTTGAGAATAAATGATTTGTACCTTGGGTCCAGAACTAGCCTTTAAATAAAATTCTTTTATGATATTTTCCAAATTGATATGTACACGATCTGAATCTGGTGGATTTAAACTGTATGCCGATTCAAGACATTGAACTGCTACTTCCAAGCTCTCCACGGAATCTTCAGAGAAATTACCAGATTTTAGTTCGTTTTTCAGATGGTTAACAATAATTATAGCAATTCTCCTTCTATCGTCCATCTAGTAAAATGATACAAACATATAAATATTAAAACATAAAATAAAGTATTTTTTTAACTTAATTTTAAGAATTTTATTAATACAAAATGTGAATTCATGAGTAATTTGGTTTCTAAACATTTTTAAATTGTTATAAGTTGGTATGATTATAATCTATAACAATACAATTAATGCAAAATATTGATCAGAAATAACTTTCATTAATGATTTGATCTAGGTATATATAATGCATTTTTGATTTTTTAAGTATGAAATACTATTTTTTATAAACTATTTAGTTAACTATTTTAATGACTTTAATTTATTTTGATATAGTTCTACAGAAAGGATTAAACATTAAATAGTAGTTGTATAATTTTAAATATATAATAAATATTATAAAAAAGTATATAGACATATTTATAATATTACAGAAGATAAAAAAAAAATGAAATCAAACAAATCATATTATATGAAATAGTATATATAGTATTTTATATAGTATTAAAAAATTCAACTGACAATAGAAATGCATTTCGACCAGCGATAAAATAAAAATACCCTATAGGTATATAGCTATCATGAACAATTTAGAGTTATTACATGGTTTACATTAAGTCTAAACAGAACTATTGCTGTGAAAAATGTGAATAAAATCTTATTAATATCCATAAATAAATTTCATGAATGGAATAACTCAACATTTTCTAAGGCTAAATCGGTGGGTTCTGGGTTTTTACTCTTGGACAATTGTGCCACATGGAATAAAGAGTACACAGAATTGTGTATTACTTTACGTTAATTATAGTGTTATTAAAAAATTAAAAATTTTCTTGTCGTATTGACATTCGAATGAAAATGCAAATAAAAAAAAAAAAAATTAAAATGCAATTCAATTAACAATAAGAACATGACATGACAAAAAGATAACGACGGCACTGTCACCACTTCCGCCATGACAAAGGCAACGTGTATAACTAAACGTCATTTTAGGGTAATATCGACCAACGTTGGGCACACATACCTCGTTCGGCAGAGCGTATTGCGCGCGAGGCTTTGCCGAGTTCCGAAAAATGATAAACGCGACGATTATCGGCCGCGAACAGCGAACGACGAGACAGCCGTGAAGAGATGTTCGCGCGAAGTCCGCGGGGGGAAACAACGACGGCGATAATGGTTCGCTTACGAACGATGACGGGTCCGTTCGGGAAACGGGAATAATGATGTTACGTCGACGGCGCGATAACGAGCGCGCGTGAAAACAATGATCGAGCCGATGGAGTAGGGATGGCGGACAACCGCTGGCCGCGGTAGAACGAACGTCGATACTTATTCACGTACCTTCAATCTACCCGGTGCCTGCGTTTCACTCGATCCGCTATCGACTTTTCCCTTTTCCCTTCCGTCCGCTTGATTCATCTGAAACGCTACCGTTCGCATTCACCAACGCTGCTGTTGACACCGACCTGGTGCGCCGTGCGACAAACGGCTTCGATCCAATTCGACTCGGCGGTTGCTCGGAAAACGGTCGACAGAGCGAACGGATCTCGTTTGGCGGCGATGACAGCTGCGAACACGACGAATAGCTCTCGCACGAACAACGAGTGAGACACATTCGCTCCGGCGGACGGTGCCGACGACGAAAAATTCAAGGAGATTGTACTATCACCGTCGCGATGTACTCAGTATCAGGACCACGGTCGCCACCGAGCAGCATTGCATCGTGCTCGTTATCATCGCGGGCTCGACGTCGCGGAAAACGTGCATCATCCTTTCGCATGCATTGTTACGTTGATAACCAACGATGTCCATTGCCGTCCCGTGTTTCACGATGTTCCTTTTCACCTAGCGTTCGGCGCAAGCACGCGGTCGACTTCTGTGAGTCAAGTGAGTACAACTTCGCTGCTTATTGTTCGTTTTTCTCGTTGTCGTTCGATTTTGTTTCGGTTCGCTCAACCGTGTATCGATCTGTACATGATAAACACGTGTTTAGGAGAAAAAAAATTCCTCGCCCTCGTTAAAATTTACCGTCGGATTTGTTTCGATTGCCGTTCGTCCTCGATTTTCCAAACAAATTGTCTCAGCGTACTGCTCATCGACGTTTTTCGGATTTAATATCAAGCGGTTCACAAAGTAAATGTAAAACGGTTTCTATTAACACGTCCACCGTCACCGATCACGGATCGTCCTCACGAATACAAAAGTTTTTATAACTAAATCGGCCATAGAGACACTTCTTTTATATTTATATTGTGTCTATGGTATTTATAAACAATGTGCTGCATTCTGTTTTAGTTTCCTATGTAATCTCGATTAGAAAATATAATACTTGTATAGTACTCTGCGCTTTTTACCGTTGTTTTTTTAGACTTATTTTTCATTTTATAATTAGTATTCTATAATTTATCATCTATTTACTTTATATTATACTGCAAAGTAATCAAGAGTTAATCGCTTTCTGAGTCCTTTTATAAATAGGAACACATGTATTATCCGACACTGAGCTGCTAGATATTTTATAAAACATTTTGACTTGATAAGCAGACTATGGCCATTGTTGTCAACAATTATGTGGTATGTGGCACTGTTTTAGAAATATACTTGTGGAGGTGAATGTTTTAAACAATCCATTATGTCTGTCATTAGTCATCGAAATATGTAATGGTTACTGCCATATTACAGATGGATATAGATTTTAATAAAATAAGTGAATGTGAATAACTTGTGTGTATCATATTAACAATCATACAAGACAAAACGAATGATGGTTATATTCATGTGTTAAAAATTTGGGCGATGAGTCAATTGTTTGCTATGTTAATACACGGCTAAACACTCCTTAACCTAATCTAATCTTTAATTGTTTATTCTTGATGGACTACCTTTCCAGCACAATTGATTTTCTGCCTCGTCTTTCTTATTATTCGGATAGAAGAGTGAACCAAGTAGAATTGTTAATGTTCCATCGCCTTTTACTGTAATACTTGTATTTTGTTTTTATGATTATTATGAACCATGTCAAATGCAATTTATTAATTGTTGACTGTTACAAAATTAAGTTACTTTTTAGAGCAGTGTATGTCTCAGTTAGGGTAAACAATATATAATAAGTAAAATTATTAAAAATAAAATAAAAATACAGTAGTTAAAAATCAAATTTGTTCTATTATTTATGAAATTAGAACATTATTTTTTGTTTTTAAAATATGAATACTACTCATCACTAAAACTGAATTATTTGCAAAAAAATAACTATTTAAAAGTATCAAAATAGAAGAAGTATTTTATAGTTTATATATAATATAATATAATATTTATAAATCAATTTTCAAAGTTTTTTCTTTGTGAAAGTTCTTATGTTTCTAAAAAATGTAGGGCACTCCAAAAATCAGGAATGCAAAATACATAAATATATATATATGTGTGTGTGTGTAATATATATAAAAAGTATTTAATTTATTTCGTAGAAAAAAGAATATTTTACTTAAGTAATTTATAAATTTTAATATTTATTTACTTTAATATGATCCATGATGTTCTTTTTTTCATCGACCAATATTTGGCTGAATTGGAGTGAGTTAGATATATGCATCAGTATCTAATTTATTGCAACATTTTATTTTTGTTGATGCATATGATGAAAATTTAGTTTTATATATAGTATCTATTATAGTACTATTTTTTAATCCAAATATTGATATTTGTTAGTAATACTATTTATTGAATATACAATATATAATAATATATTGTATATATTTTATATGTATATTTAATCAATAGTAATATTGCTTTTTGTACAAAGAATATATAGTATATCTTAACTTTCAAAAATATATTTTTAAATATTGTTCAATTTCATTCAAATTTTTCAATATTATCATCAATAAATTCTTTTAATAAGGCAAAAATTAATTTTTTTATTGAAAGACAGCCAAAAATGATCTTATTTTTAAAGCTAGCTCAGATTTTGTTAACTGCCACGTATGAGCGACTTAGTATATTTTTCAAGTACTTTTAAAATTAAAGTTTGAAGTAAAAAATTATTTTTCTGAAAAATAATGCCCATTGTAATAATTTTTTTTTTTTATGTTTTAGTTTTTCATTTTTTCTTTTTTTTTTGTTCTTTTTTTAAAATATTTTCTAAATAAATTTATTTTTAATTTAAAAAAAATGCTAAAAATTATCAAAGATGGTAAAACTCAAATAGGAAGTAATTTTTACTTCTTTAAAAACTGATGAAGTCTAGTTAATAATTTTAAAAAAAAAAAAGGTTGCAAATTGAATTCTATACATATTTATTTTTTTTTTTTTTTGTTTTATGATAATGTCATGTCCTGTGTAGTTAGATAATAATAGTTTGGAATAAGTATTATAATCACCCTGCATAACATATTCTCACATGAGTGTGCAACAGCGCATACGCATACAGAAATACAGAGATTAATTTGTTTATAATAAACAAATTCTCAAAAACCACATCTGTAGATAAATTAAAACTAGATCAACGTATCACACATGTACTTATTGGACCACAACTAGGGACACACACGTCATACACATTATAATTTTATACATATTCATACACAAAAATCAAATAAAGAAATAATTATTAAAATAACATTAAACCACATCCTAGATCTCTACGTCAGTAGCCATAAGTAGGACAGGGGACAGCACAAACACTTGTGTCAATTACTATAGACATTGGGTACATAAAGATACCAGAAACATGGCAAATCAGACGAGTTCTAGCTATGTAGCACTGAGTACCTTCACACCAGTGTATGCCATGGTCTGGAATAAGACTTTCATCAGTTTTAAATTATTTGGACTTAGAATATTTCATAAGAATATATTTTATCAAAATACTTAAAATAATTTTAACAGTTTACATTAAATAGACTTAAAATAATTTTGAATATTAAATTAAAATCGCTTACACCACAACCAGTTTTTATTTATCAACATCTGTGCTTACTCATAAGTGTTAAACAGACTGAGTAATACTGATCTAAGATCAATTGATTATTAAACATTAATTAAAACAAAATATATTTTTTATTTATTTTATATACATTATTATGTGAAATTTTTATGTAACCAATACTATAATTTGATTACAAGATTTCTTTAGATAATTAATATTGAGAATCGCTTATGTACTATTTTGATATTAAAATACATTTTAACAAACTATTATATAATTTAAAAAAAAATTGTCCTAACATATTGATATTTGTTTTTTAAAAATTATATTATTATTTTTTAGTTATATCAAGTTTTACGAAACAATGACTCTGAAACGTAGTTCATCTGCCAAAAAAGGTAACTTAAAAAAAAAACCAAAATTAAACACCGAAGAAACAAATGATTATACTAAATCACAGACTCATGATTTAGAAATGATTGGGTCAGGTGACGAGCAAGAATTTGCTCAAAAACCTGATAAATTAAAGACTGCTAAAAAGTCTAATGACTTAAAGCTATCGAAATTGACTGAATTGAATGAAAATTCATTTAACAAAACTAGAAAAAACATAAAATTGGCAGAAAAACTAGAAAATAATAAAGGTGTGAAAAAACCCAAAAGTATCTTAAGAAAAAAACCAAAATTAGATAATACCGAAGAAGCAACCGATTATACTAAATCACTAACTGATGATTTAGAAATGATTGGATCAGATGACGAACTAGAATTAGTTCACAAACCTGATAAAATAAAGATGGCTCAAAAGTCTAATGATTTAAAACTGTCCAAGTTGAATGAAAATATTAACAGAGGAAAAATGAAATTGGTTGAAAAACCTGAAAAAAATGTTGGTACAAAAAAAGCAAAAAGTTTACAAAACAAATCACTTTCTACTGATTCTGAAAATAATTTATTAAAGAAAACTAAAGGAAAATCGAATTCTACTAATGGTATATTTCAATACAGTTTTTATAAATTTAAATTTTTAATATTTATTGTCTTTTTTTAATTTATAGATATTAAGGCTACAGAAAAACCCAATTGGAAAGAGTTTAAGAAAGAAAAACAAGAGCTTCGAATCAAGCGCAAACAACATAAATGTAAATTTTATGAAACTGTTTTAAAGTCAAAACAACTTTGGGAAAAGGTGCGTCGTGATGATTGTCCGAAGGAAAACAAAGACGTTTTATTGAATGATCTCTTTAAATTTTCAAAACCTCATCTAGAAACGGTAATATTTTCCTTTTTTTTTTTTTTTAATTTTGATTATGTGCTTAAAATTATTTTTTCTGTTTTAAATAGATGGTATACTCACATGATACCGCTCGTATAGTTCAATGGATGTTAAAACTAGGCACTCCAGAAATCCGTTCGCAAGTAATAAATGAACTTATGAAACATGTACCTAAAATGTTACTTTCTAAGTATGCATGTTTATGTGTAAAAAATATGCTAAAACAAGGTGACGCAGAACAACGCAAAATAATTATCAATTCCTTAAAGGGAAAATTTTATGCTCTGACTATACATTCAGTAAATATTATAAAATTATGTGGTTTAATTTTCTTAAGATATACTAAATTTTAAAATCTTAAATATTTTTTAGAATGCTGCTAAGATTATGGATTTAATTTACACAACTTATGCGACTCCAGAGCAGCAAAATAATATGATGCATGAATTATATGGGGCATCTAGTATTTTATGTGATTCAGCTAATATACTATCATTTGCTGACGTTTTGAAGAATTCACCCAATACAAAAGATATTATATTGGCTAAGACAAAAGATCACATCAAAAAATTTGTTTTAAAGTAAATATTAAATATAAATGGTATAAGAGCATTCTTTCCAATACCTTTTAAATTTAAAAACAATGTATGTAAATATTATCAATTAATAGGGTTATAGATATTTTTTTCATGACCTGTAAATATTTTCAAGTTATTATAGATATAACTAATATAATTTTTAAAATAAAATTATTTTATTTTATTTTTTTTTTTTTTTTTTGTTAACTTAATTATTACAAAACTCAAAAATATATGTATTGTAATACTGTAAAAAACAAAATATACAGCCCATCTTCAGAAATTCTTATTGACTACTAGATGCTTTTGTCTAAAAGAAATTATTTAAATATTGAATAAGTACAACTATTTGATTTGGGTTTGTTAGGCAATTCAACATAATTTTACTTTTAAAAATCTTTCTTTATTTTTAACAATAAAATTAATTAAGAATATAATTTAATTGCTCATTTTCATAGTAATAATTCTGATTCATTAAAAAATAAATTCACTAAAGTATTAAATATTCCTTAGAATTGTTTTATTATGTATCCATATCATATAATCATTTTTGTTTATTGAAAGTTTAATTATTAAAAGTCTCATATTTTTTTTTTTTTTTTGCTCTATATAAATAGAATCATGAATGGCAGTCAAAGAATCCTACTTTTCCTTGGAAAAAATTTGATTTGAAAGTATAACTAAAAATTGCTTAAGATTAATATATTTTTAGAGTGATATTATTATTAAAGTTCTCACCAATTATTTATTCTTAATAATTTAATGCAAATGATGAAAGATTAATTTCATATACATTAATATATAATGCGTAGATTATCTAAATTTTAATTTGCTACGTGTATTTAATTGTAGACAAAAGAGTTCCATGCAAACCACTTTGGTTCATAATTTAATTTATGAATATGTTTTATATACCGGTGGAAAAGATTGTGATGAACTATTCGCATCTCTCAAAGAATTCCCAATAGAATTATTTTATACATCTAAAAGTGGCTGCCTTCTTGCTATGTACATAATATGGTCTTCAACACCTAAGGTAACATTAATTTAATTTTACCTTTATTATGATTTAAAATTCTCTGTTATGTTTTTAACTAGGAGAAAAAGTCAATATTAAAACAAATCAAGACCACAAGTTCTACACGTGATTTGGCTACATCAGAATATGGATACTTGATTTTACTATCACTTTTTGATTGTGTTGATGATACAGTACTCATTAAAAAAGTGAGTGATTTGATGTTTTTAATTTTTTTTTTACTGAAACTAATAAGTGTTGACATATTTATATGCATATAATTATTTCAGATAATCATTCCTGAAATAATAAATAATATGGATACAATTGCAATAGATGAATATGGCCGTAGGGTTATATTATACTTGGTAGCATGGAGAGATTCTTCATATTTTCATCCTCAAGATATTGATTTGCTGAAAAAAGGAGATTTAATTAAAGAATGGTAGTATTTGATTATAAATATGGCTTATATAATAAAACTGTAAATTTCTTGTTAAATTTTAAATTGTTAAAAAGTTTGAATTGCCTAAGACTTAACTATACATTTTTTTTTTAAATACAAGTAGATACAATTATATTAATAGAAAATATCCAAATAAATAGATCTAACATTTCTAAAGTTATATATGAGTACATAAAATAATGTAAAATATTGGCTGATTAAAAATAATAATAAAATTTATATAAATATGAAATTCATTATTTTTATGATGTATATAATATAATATATTAGGTATGTCTTAATTTATAAATAATAAATTATTAAAACTCATTGTAACATATTTATATTTTTTACTAATAGGAATTATAAGTAAAATTCTTAAACATTATTACACGTATTTTAGTGTTTAATAATATAGAACTCCTTAGATTTTTCTTTTAATTTATTTTTATTTAATTGAACAAACTTAAATTTTTTTGGTTCTTAAGTGTTTACATTGTGGCAAATAATATAAGTATTCATTAAAATCAATGCTTCCAATGGAGGTGATATTGCCCCCAGTGGGTGATGAAGAAGTACCGAGGGGCGGTGAACTTTTTTCCGATCAATGCAATGTACCAAGTTTTATTTATAATTGTTTTCCTTTTATCGATTTTTAAAATAAATTCGTGATTATGAAATATAAGCTACATATATCAAAGGCAGTGCGTTATTATCTAATAATGAAAAAAAGAAATCAACTAGACATTGTCAAAAGAGGAGACTTATGGTTTCATCTCCCAAATTTTGAACCAAACAATAAATTAATTGGCTTTGAATCACCAAGCATTTCACTGATCAAAACATTTCAAAACATATAAATTATTCTTTTAAATTATACTTAAACATAAATTTTACATTTTATTTTTATTATGTTTACATTTTTATCTATATTACTTAGTATTCAATTATAATCATTTCATACATACAATTTTATTTTTAATAAGATGGGCGTTGAAAAATATTGCTTCTTAGGGGGGTGACAGTTTGAAAAAGATTGAGAAGCACTGATTTAAATTATTATAGTATTTATAGTTAATTTTTTTTATTTCCAGAAAATGGTTTGGTTCATGTTTAATTTGTTTAAATTGTCCATTCTAAATATTTTCTCTGCTATTTAGAAATATCACTGTTTTACTTTTTTTAATTCATTGAACTGCGAAAGGACTGTGTCTCAAGTTTACTTATTACATACATTTTTAAACATTGATGTTAAATAATTTGTGTTAAAAATTTTTAAATTTTGTTGTTTGTTTGCATATCCAGTTTTTAAATTAAAACAATTGAAATAAAAATAAAAGATGGCCTATATTATTATAAAATAATAATAATATTTATATATATTTATTTCAATTCTGTTATACTGAAGAATTATAATTTAATTTTTATTTATCCCTTTGGGTTTGCCTAATATGATATATTGAAATTATTTAGGACTGGTGGAATCTATAAATAATATGAATATTTATATTTAATACTTAAATTTAATAATTGTATTAATCTAATTTTTTAAAATTATTTACAGTAAAAAAGATGATGATTTACGTGTAAAAGAACTTATAAATGCAGTTTCTGACCATTTTCTTCAACACATACAAGAAAATCCTAAATTCTGGTTAAGCAATGGGTCAGTTGCCATGTTATTACTTGGAATTTTAAAATCTGGCAGTGGTAATTATTTCATCTTATATGAACTATAGAAATAGTATAGGTAGATATAATATATATATATTCCTGTATAGTTGTTACTGTATTAAGTATGATTGTAGGTACCAAATATTTTGAAATTTGCATATTTTATGTATGCTATAACGTAATGAAGTTCTTTTATAAAATTTAAATTTATATTTTTAAATATATATAAATATATTATTATTATAATGATATAATAATATATATATAAATTTTCTTACATATTATTTATATTCAATGTACTCTGACCTGAATTCATTATTAAATTTAGTATTATAAATTATTAAATTACATTTTTTTTATTCTAAAAATTAAATATTTTTTATAATTTATTTTTGTTTTAAAATCAATATGTATGTAAAAAAAAATTCTTTAAATATGATATTTTACAAAGTTGATACTTTAAATTTTATTTGTTGAGTTTATATAAATTAAAATTATAAGCCAAATTTTTTTTGAACAAATCATAAACATTTGTTTATATTACGGAAATAAGATCTTTTTTTTAATGCTGAATATTTTATTTACAGGAGAAAAATTAAAAGGTGCAATGACATCAGTAGCTAATTACTTAGTTGATCCTGATAATACAGTATTGGAAAAAGATGAAAAAATTGCTGTGTATGAGCATGCTGGTCTTCATATGGTATTTCGAAAGATTATTGGTCATGATCAAATTCTAGAAAAAAACAATGAAAGTAAGACAAATTTTATTTCTTAAAATTTTTTTTTAAATTGATTTATTGATTAAATATGATTGTTTTAGCTACATTTTCTGAGATTCTGTCAGCAGTCATTAACAAAGATATATTAAAATCTTGGATTAAGTGCAACCGTGCATGTTTTTTGATTGTGGCGTAAGTTATAATCAACATTGTTAAAAAATTTAATTATTTGATAATTAATGTACATTTTATATTTCAGAATGATGGAATCAAATGTCCAGCTGGCAATAAAAACCTTAAAATCACTTTTTGGAACAGATATGATGAAACTATTACAGAAGCAAACATTTTCTGGTGCAAAAGTTTTAGCCACCAAATTGAAATCTTAATCTATATTTGATTTTTAATAAACATTTATTTTAACAAATTTCCTTATATATTTATTTATTAATAAGTCTTTGTTAACCTCGAATAAACCACAGATAGAATAATACTCTATGGAAATTAAATTTATATGCTTGTAGAAGGTTATTAAATGTTATTATTTACCAAAAATATTAGTCATGGTTGTGATAAATTAGAATAAATATTCCAAAACTGATGAGCACATAGATTTTGTAGATGGATATTTATTTACGTTTAAAATAAACTCCCAGCATTATTGTTATATCTAAAGATAATTTAAATATAAAAACCTTTCTTATCTTATATATTTTTACTTCAATAGTTTTCACTATACATTTCTGAATTAATTTACTAGTAATATTTTTTAACAAGTAAAACTTAACATTTTGGCATATTAAATGTCATATTTGTTTTTATTTATTTATCGTATTTGTAAGCATCTTAAATAGTTTCATTAGATTATTATGCTATAGGTAATAAAATGATAACTTATAATTCATGAAAAAAATCTTAAAATATTTAAGCATATCTCTATTAAAGAACGAATTGTAACTATTATTTAATAATTGTATTATATATTTTATTATTGTGAATTTTATTGAGTATTGTTCTGCATTAATATTGAATTTTTTATAAAACCTTGACATCTAATTTGAAGTATGAACGTTATGGAAAATTTGTTATAAAATAATTTAAATATTTCAAGTTAATAGGTTTAAAATATTTTTTCACCAAAAATACTAAACTAAATAGTGTAATCTTACTGTTTTGTGACTGTGATGTATTTTCAGTTCAAATCATGTGGAAAATAAAATACAGATTTGTGTAAACATTTTTAAAAAACAATTTTTTATTATTAAATTTGTGTAAAAAATAACTTATAATTATTATTGATTAATACTAATGAGAATTGCACAACAATGTAATTAATTTTTAAATTTAACTTGTTAGTGGCGTAAATCTAAGTTAGTATTTTGATTAGTTGTTGCTGGTGATGATGCTAGGATATTTTATTAGATCGACAATTATCAGATCGTGCCTCAAAAAACTGAGATCACATTTATTAATCATAGATATAGATAATATAATATGAGAATTTAGTTTATGGGTAGTGTTATCATATAACATTACAGAGCCTAGTATCTTATTATAAGTAGTAATTATTATCAATTAGGTGTTTTAATTTTTCCACGGTGAATTACTTTTCTGCTTGTTAAAAATGATCATATTTTAATGTGTAAGGTCGGGCCATGACCCTATATGACCTTACGGCTGTTGTTACAACATAACCTCAAGATGGCTATTGAAAAAATAGGAAAACAATTTTATGAACAGTTTCAGAACGCAATTCCAAAAAAAAAATGTTTGAGTTAAAACTTTGATTGAGATTCTAAAAATACTTTCCGGTGAAGTAAATACTATGAAAGAAATAGAAAAAGATTTGAAGGTTAAAGGTCTTTCATTCCTCAAATAGGGTTCCAATGACATCAGTAGATGTAGAACGAAGTTTTCCATGATATACAAATTTACTTTAAGATAACAGATGCATTTTGTCATAGTGTAACGCTAGCAATGTAATAGTGTAATAAAAACGCTATATTATATTAAAAAAATTATATATTAAAAATTTTATAATGATTTATAATAACAAAAATAACTTATAAAAATTGTGCTTATTTTTCTGTTTTTTTTTTTTTTTTTGCTAAAAGTGCATATTTTGATTGCATATTTAGTATTTTTTTAGTAAATAAATGCATACTTACATACTACAGTAATTTTAAGTGCACAAACATCCGAGCCCTAGTTATCGTAGTCGAAAGTTTATGTACGTTGGATTTAATTATTTATTGAAATAGAATTAGGAATTAGGTGACATAATCTGATTTCATAAAATGTTTTTCAATGAATAGTGTTTTCAAAATATAACATATTAATTTTATTTGTACTGCCTGGGTCCAACGCTACTTATGAGTTTTCAAGGTATTCCGATGCTCTTATTCCGGTATAGCATACCATATGTTTTTGTTGTAGGTACTTTTAAAAATACATTCACTAATTTTACTATTACGGTTACTTTGCGCTTATCCGTTTCAAGCAGCTATAAACTGAAATCTAGACTCTTGTTGACGTGCTTATTATGAAAAACTAAGAACATCAAGGTTTAATTGAATTATATTTTTTCAACTATTTTTGATGCACGATATTTTGTGCGAAAACCATGTAATTTTTTTAATTATTTTTGTATTCTTCAATTTGCATTTAAGTTCACCTCCGTTGAATAATGTACAGAATATCGATTTTTCCAGTTTTTTTTCCATTCCGTTCGTTAATTGACTTAGGTACTTACACTTATGGCTGTTCGGTTTCAGACGTGAATCGTGATGATGTTATTTTCAAAAAAAAAAAAAAAAGCCAACCGCTATTGAAAGCGATATTGAGAAAATGTATAATATTAATATTTATGTATTAATATTAAGGATGTTAAAGATTTTGTAAACAAAATATACGACACTGACCGTTGTAATTTTTAATATTAAATGCGAGATTTTCATTTTGCGCTCCCCCAGAAATTGCGCCCGGGGCATAGGCATCTCTCGCCACCCCTTTGCCACGGCCCTGCCAACAAGTCAACTTTTCTCGTTAAAATTTTCCGATTCAATGTTTAAAATAAGGTATTCTAGTGCACGGGAGCCATCTATTCGTCGGTGAGGTATTTCGTTCTCGATATTAGTGGCGGTCGACCAATTTCCTTTGTCCCGTGGGTGGAGCGTAACGTTACGGAGCGCTATTGATTATACGGCCGCGTTACCGGACTATTTCGGCGACACTGCTCGACACGCGTTTCAGTCCTTTCAAATTACGAACGTCTTTTACCTTTTACGTTTGTGCATAGACATCTTCCCAGCCCGACTGACCGGAACTACGAGTGTTACCTATACGGATCGTGATGAATGTCGAAACAATAATATTTGCGATTCACATTAAACATGTACTTTTTTCGCAGTCAAATCACAAGAACTGACCATTGCGTTTAATCTGTCGACTCTTAACCTGGGGCACGCGGAAAGCTCGTAGACGAGTGCGCGAAGAAATTTCTTCGATATCATTTTTACATCACAGCGTTTATTGATATAATTATCGGCGTTGCGTACCGTTTGTTTTATTTGACGTTTATGTCCTTGTCCGTTGATTAACAAAGTCTCGTGAAATAATTCATCGTACGCATTCCATTCGATAAAAAACATTCAAGTGTTTAGACTCCGAGCACTTTGTACACGATGGTTTAGCCGATAGATTTTTTATCGAATCTCGCACGTTTACTAGTGAAACTCGTTTTTCTGATCTTGGAAAACTTCAACCGTACCCGACCGGTGACCAAGGTTTCGGCGATCAAAATACTGTTTTTGCAACTCGACTCGGGGTCGATAAAAACGAAAATAAACAAATAAGACCGATGCGTTTCGTCGTGGGAAAATGTTCACGGTTCTTCTTCCGTTTTCGATTTTCGTCGTTGTACCCGTACATCACATGTGTATTTGTTCGGTAAAAGGATAAAGAAATAACGCACCCAGTGAACGCTGTGTTTCGATTCCCTCGCGCGCAGGTAGCCGTTTTACGGTAGACGCGGGTACAACACGGAATTCTGTACAATATCGTCGATGCGCGTTTGTCTAAACACAATAATACACGCCGTGTTGTTGTTGCGATCGCGGGACCGAACGGTGATTTCGTCTCGCTGCCGAGAACGCGCATAATAACTTCTCGCGGGTCAGCAGCTGCTTGCTGTTTGCGCTCCCCAAAGGATACATCCGATTATTGCCGGAGGGACCGCTCGTCCGGACCGCCTCGCGATCATCCCTTTCCGAGCGGCGCCCGCGCGCGCACTTTCGCACCGGAAACTGCGAAACACCACACGGATTGAGTTTCGACGGGTGCACCTGACCGCGTAGCCACCGTTCTTTACGTACCTATCCGGGACAGGGTTACGATAGGGCTGTTCAGTGGCGTACGAAGACTCGCTAGCGCACCCAGCAAACTTGGAAAAAACGCTTTTTAACCAATTCATATCTGATGTCAAGATACATTTTTTAACCTTTAATTTTTACTAATATTTTTAAGTATACAATTTATATTTATGGGTTATTATTACAGCGTTGATTTTAAACTTTGAACATTTGCTTTTCTCGCTTAATGACTAGCGAATTCATCGATAATTTTTCTTTATACGACATTTTTTATTTAAATGCCCTCGCGCTACTTATAATCTCGTCGTTCAATTCTCACGTAGTGTGTACAAATGGTACAAATTTCGATTTGATTGTAAGATAAAAATATGATTTTTGCACAATTTTACGCCCCTTTGCAATTTGCGCCCCTGGCGTAGGCACAGTTTGCCGAACTCTTACTACGCCACTGGGGCTATTGCTTTTGGCCGAGGCCCTTTTGCCCGAAACAATTTCATTTATTTTTACTCGGATCTAGTGGCTTGTAATAAATTTTCATCGAAACCAGTATAGTACGCATGTCTGTTTTAGCATACCAAGTCACGATTCATTGATAAAACAGTGCTCTATATTTGATAATACCGAGAAACTATATAATATACATATTTTCGCCATATGAAATAGAAAAAAAAATTATTTTATTTATTATTTGATATCGTTTTTATAAAAAAAAAGAAAAAAAAACCATTCAACACATTGAAGCCTCTTTCAACTTGCGGCCAGGGACTATTGCCCCCTAGCCTTCCTATCGATCCTGCTCTGGATTTAGTTGGGTAATAAACAAAAATGTGGGAATTATTCTTCATTATACATAAGTGCATACTATTTTTCATTCAATATAAATAATATTTATGAAAACTACAAAATAAAGCATTATATCGTTATGTATATTAACAAAAACTAACTAAAAAACTTCGAAAATGGTACTAAAAATCTAAAACAGTTCAAGTATGTAAAAAATAGTAAAATATAATTTCATTTTTGGAGTCCCTGATGCATGAAACAAACTGATATCTCA